CCGGCCACCTGGCCGGAGGGCTGTTGAAGTCCACAATTAGCACGTCAATGCAGGTGGGCAATCACAGGGGAGAGGGCGAAACTCGGTCACAAAAGGGGAATGAATAATTTGGGAACAGCGTTTGAACAACAAAAGACGAGTTGAGAACACCCGTCGCGCCCAGGCGACATTTGTCGTCCGCAAAGTCTGCAACATGTTGATACAGTGTAGACCAGACAGAAAGGCGCCAATGTACCGTGGTTCAAAGCTTAAACTCAGGTAACCAATCACTACCGAGGGGCCGGACCGGGGGTGCGGTATGCAAATGTCGGGGGCAGTGTTTTCCTTGTATGTTACAATAAAAGTCGGAATTGGCGGGAAGGGAGCTCGAGTGTGTGATCATCGGAGCAACTAAACCGCCGTTCGCTCTCAGAGATCCCTCCCGCCGATATTGAAGACAATTTTCCTGTGTGCCGAGTCATTTCTTTAACTTTGTCCGAGAAAATCTCTGACCTACCTATGCTGAAATTTCATGTTACCGGAAACACACTATCTTTTTTGTTTGGCCTTATGTATTCATGCAGACAAGTTCAACCTATCAGTGATGGCAATGGCGAGTGCTGAAAAATGCGGAAAGGGGCGTGGCCTGGACGGGGGCGTGGCCTGGATGGGGGCGTCGAACTTGGAACCAATTTTAACCTTTACAGTCATTTTTCTGTCAAGCCAGTCCCATCGGAATTTCTTCTTGACATTTGAGTCAATTTCTAGGATTGAAGACTCCTGATCTTTCGTCAAAAATCTCAGAATTCCGCTCAAAACGATCCCAGAACAATGAATTTGCGAGACGAACAGGCCGCCATGAATCAGGTAAAACAATATGTTACATGCAATTTGATTGGTCCAATCGCTTGTAGTTAACCAATCGCTGGGCCGTATATAATCGAGCTAAGACTTCCCCAACAAATAATGCCTTCAGTGATCTGATTAGTTGAAGCTTTCATACACGTCCAATCGCAGGGCTGTTTACAAACGGAAAACGGAGAGACTGATCGGGAGAGCTCGTGAAAACTCGACGATAAGGTACCTGACCCCCCCCTAAAATTTTCTCAACGGATTTAGACGATTCACAAAAATGATCAATTTAAGAAATAAAACGGCAGATTTCCGCGTATCCGCGGAAAATTGCCATCACTGACCTTTTTTTTCTTTGGGTTCAGAAGGCATCTGAGTCAGCTGAGGTCTGTGTCTTGGTTTCCCATCAGATCCCAGCAGGTTTTCCATAGAATGAGACCTATTTTTCATAGATTTCTTACTGTCTTCCTGCAGTGGACTGGGCTTGGTGTGTGTTTCTAAAGAAAACATATTTTGACAGAATTAGATCATCCGACTTTTGGGTTAATGAAGACAATAGAGCATTGTAATATTTTCTCACTCTGTGATGTCATCTTGTCAGCTTTGGCGTTCACTGCCTTGGCCGCTGGGGTAGGGTTGTTGATTGGATGTCCTGTCTGGGTTTTCGTGTCTAAAAAAAAAAAAAAAAAAAAAAAGTACAGTATTTTTGAAATATTTTGTTCTTGAACGTTCCAAATACTGTATTTTCCGCACTATAAATCTAATTTCCTCAAAAGCCAACCTTGCGCCTTGTAATCCGATGCGCCTTATATATGACGTTACAGTCTCTTTATAGTCCCCATTGAGTTGTTTCCTGTTAGTGTTCCTATGCCATCTAGTGGTGATTATTAGCAAAAACCATTTGTGAACGTAAAACGGTTTTGCCCGTCACTAATTGACATGTGCATTCGCCAACACACACTCAAACAGACAACTACTTTGTGAGTTCTGCGCAACCATTATGAAATAAAGATAATACCAAAAGCATAGTTAAGACTAAACGAAGGAAGGAGACAAGCAAGACGTCTCAGGATATTTGGCCCCTTGTGGATGTGAGCCCACGAGGTTTGTATGCCTTTTTGTATTTTAGATGTTCTGTAAAGCGCTTTGTTACAGCTGCAGCGGCCATGAAGGCTTTATATAAATAAAGCTGTATTGTCTCGTATGGTATTGTATTCCGATTAGCATAGCTCCATCTAGTGGATGCATAACACAATCGCAGCTACAATTGTAGCTCTATGCCTTATAATGCAGTGTGCCGTATACATGAAAACAGTTTTAAAATCGGTGTTTCATTGAAAATACGCCTTATACTCCGGAGCGTCTTGTAGTGCGGACAATGCGATAACTGTCAGTGTTGGCACAAAACCTTCAGGCTTGTCCTACAAATGGAAAAAAATGTCAAAAGCCTCCAAGAACAACGTTATTTGCAATTAATCATGGTGGTGGGCATGTACTAACTCCCATGAGTTTGAATGTGATTGACTTTCAAACACAGCCCCATCCCAGTTACGTAGTGGGTGCACACAACCATATTAATCTCATTTTTACTTCCCTTCTAGAATTTTTTTTTTTTTAATTGAGTTGTCCAGGTTAAAGGTCACATTATGGGTGGAAAAAGGTTTGAGATAATCTTTCTTGGTCTCATTTTCTATACCACTAACATCTGGCATTAAAATAGATTTTTCTATCCACTGTACATATGCTGCTACTGAAACTTGTTACCTGTTAATGGTGGTCTGGCACCAACAGGTTGATTCAGGATGTAATACATCTGTTTCTTCAGATTAACAGCAAATTCCTCGTTTGCTGTCACCTTTTTGGAGTTAAAGTTAATCCGAGGGGCGTATGGATCAAACGCCGCAGCTTTGGGCAGGTTCAGTGAAGCCTGTGGGCAGGGAAGCGCAACTGTCAAATGGATGCTGCTGATGCAACAACTGATATAGAATTGGATACAAAAGTGGTGGCTGTGATTAAAAAAAAAAAAAAAAGTATGAAATCCAGAGAACACACACCCAGTGCATTTACATGCACGCACTTTGTTACAGATAATATCCGCAGTTCTAGTTTACTGTGCTGGCTGTAATACAATCCTGGGCCTACCTGAATGCCCTTCTTCAAAACTACAATTGCTGTCAAAATGCTCTCTTAGTGTACTGTATGTAGCTGTGCTTATTAAAGCAAGGAGAGAGAAAGGCCAGCTGTTTATTTGAGTCCTCGCCTGCCAGCTGGACAAACAACTTTTTCCCATCATTGCTCTTACCTGGGAAAATCTTTGCTGACCATCAATCAAATAACACAAATCACTGGAAACGAGTTGGGCACAAAGCGGCTGGTTTCTGAAGCGACTCGGAGGGAGTGGATGGTGGGGATCATATTTACTGGAGGACATACTCATTTTAAATAACATTTGCAATGAAATGTATGAACTGTCAAAAACATCCAGACTGACGGTTTGGGGGAGTGGGTGGGCTAGCCCTACGCCCGAAGTTTGTAAGTGTAAATATTTCATTATATTCCATTACAAATCACCCGCAGGTTATGACCATTTGACCAATATAAGGTGCTGAACTTGTCACTGGAAATTTAAAAAATCCACGTCATGTATTATAGCCGTATCAAAATGACAAATGTGTGAATGAGTGTGTGTGATAGGAAGTGGTAGATGAAAGCTAACTGCAAAGATTGTAATTATAACAATAGCCGCTCATGTGAAAAGGGTTTAGAAACATTATGAAGCTTCCAAATCTATCCATAAGGGGTGGAACGGTTCACAAAATGCACGGTTCGGTTTGTATCTCAGTTTTGTGCTCACTTTTGTGTCTGTTCCAAAGCTGGAACCAAAGGAGGCACTATTGCTCCATCATGTTGCTTGCCAAAACACAGTTAAAAAAGAAGAAGAAGAAGAAGAAGAAGAAGAAGAAGAAGAAGAAGAAGAAGAGGAGGAAGAACAAGAACAAAAACAAGAACTAGTTGCTGGAATATTAGTTGTTTCTCAATGTGAAGAATACAGATTACAGTCGTGCTAAGAACGGTTTCTGAGAAGGTGAGTCTCTGTAAATTGGGACAGCTGTGTACTTGTGAACTTCTGACATAATTCCATGCTTGCAGCACGAAATGCATCTTGGGATATTTTCCTACACGTATATAGCCGATGCATCCTTGGTTTTAGCTAGTTGACAAAAACAACATCCTGGTCTTCCGTGTGTTCTTTGTTCATTCGTACTTGCAATTGGAACAGCACTTGGGGCGCGACTGATGACGTTTCGCAAGATCACCGGGACGTACTGTAAGTAGGGACAGGAACGTCAATTGAGAAATGACTATTGTCCATTCGCTGTTGTTTACCCCTGTCGATTTTATTTCTCTGCCAGGTTCCGTGTTGTACACGTTTGTCTTTCCTGCAAGTATTTCCAGTTTTTCTACTCTATTTGTAGCTTCACTTGTGTACTGTAGTGCATTTTCCCCTATTGTTTAGTACCTGTTTTTTATATCTAAAACCTGTTTGGTTCACACTGTTTCCTTTTTGCGTTTCTAGTCTTAGAATTTCTCTGGTGTAATGTTGGGTTGCTTTCTGTTTGTTCTCAATGTGTATTCTTTTATTCGTGTTGGTTCCTGCGGGGCAGAGTTTTTGCGTCTTTTTTTGCTGTACACAAAATTCAAGTAAGTTAGTGTTTCTCCTGACCAAATGAAGAATCTGAACCTATTTTCCGAGTCAAAATTCCATGGTTGCAAGGTATCAAGCGCGACACAAGATGTCGAGGATCATCAGTGTGTTGAAGGAGAAAACAGAAAAAAAACATTGTCGTTATCTTACCTGAAGAAAGGCCATTGTTTGTGACTGACAAAGTAGACTCTGGATGTCCACTTTAGCCTTGTTCAAGCTCTTAATATTGTCAGAAAACATTTTCATGAGAACCCTGATCTTGGTCTGAGACGACTCGAGTTCTTGGTCCACCGCGGTCATAGCGGCGCGCTCTTCAGCGGCCAGCATGTCTCGAATCTGTTCGTACACATGAGCCATTTTCGACTTCTTGGTGGCGGCGCTGCCCTAGAATATGAACACAAAAGAATCAACACCCAATATTACGTATGTCACCGCTTCTTTACAAATGTCTTTTTAGTGAGTTGAACTCCTGACAGCTGAACAAACACTAGCTAGGGCATACCTGTAATGTTGATATGGTGTTGTGACAGAGCTAAGGGACTAGTTTTGTGTTCTACTGCTTCAATGAATAAGAAAACTTTTGGCAACCAAATTTGTCATGACAAAGAGCAACAAAAGGTTGCTGATAAGTTATTTTCTCTTAGCTATGTATATGATCCCAGCCCTGTAAAAAAAATAAAAGTCAATGAAAATGTTTCAAAGAAAGGGAGAAATATTTACAGTACACAACCAAAAAGAGGAGGAAAAACACATTTTTAACAACTAACCTGAACTAATTTCATGTGTCTTTACAGAAAAATGTCAGTAATGACTGGCTCCAAAATACAGTCATACGTCAATTTTCGACCATAATCCGTTCCAGAAGGCTGTTTGAAAAGCGATTTGTTCGAAATACGAAACTATTTTATGAGCCCATGATTAGGGGCTAGTACACTATGCAGAAATAACATAAAAGCAGTCAGATTTGCGTAAATCACAATAAACACGTCTGCTCACAATGAACGGAAGCGTCACTTCGTCGTGTAAGGAAATCGAGAGGAGTCAAGTGACGGATTCGGGTTTGCTCAGTTTGGTCGAAAACCGTTTTTTGGTCGTAATCTGAGGCGTAATCTTCTGGTCTAAAACCGATTTGGTCGAGGACAGAGACGTTCGAAAACCGAGGTTTGACTGCACTTTAGAACACCACATATTGGGTTCTTGTATTAAGTATATTGTCAACTCATCTATATCAGCCACAACCAAACTATTGTATTCTGTCAGCAGAGGAAATCGGAAAATGCCAGAACCCCTTTTACTGAGGACCACCTGTACAGTATTTGAGATTAGCAAATGATCCACTTTTGTCTTCTTCTGTGCCTGTCTTCCGCTACAATCCTCATCCGCGATACTCATGTTCCTGGAATTTGCAGGAATCGTGTCATATTATGGTTTGGGCATTTGAAATGATCTTATTTCCAAACTTTTTTTCTCTTCAAAGCCTTTTCACTCCTAGTACTGTCCACTGCATATTGGAGTGAACCTGCCCCCATATGCAATAAAAGCGTGTGATTACCTTCAGGGAAAGCTGCATGTCGGTTATTTGAGAAATGACAGTCTCATTCTGTTTAATCTTCTTGTTCACCAAATCCAATTTCTCACTGAAGTTGGACTGCAAAGACAATAAAAGCAACGCAATTAACCAATCCTGTTTCATGGGTTGCACTAACAATCATTACATTTCATTTGACTTTTGACTGTCACAGTTGTGTCTCGGTGTGAATTTGGACAAAGTGTAATCATGATGTGGACAATTTTCATGTGAATTAGATCTGATTTGATCAGGATGGATTTTTTAAAATTATTTTTTTGGGGGGGGCACAGAAGCTTAATTAAAAACGTCAACATTTAACATAAAACAAAAACACAATATTTAACAAAAGAAAAACAACGCCCATAGTTCTTTGGACCACAAACTATTCATCCATTAATTTTTCAGACCGATTATCCTCATTCAGGTCACGAATGAGAGGAGCCCATTACAGCTGACAACAATTCATTCAAATTCACACGTAATTTGTTTTCCCCAACGACCGGCCGCAAACCGGTACTGGGCCGCGGCACATTTTGTACCGTGCCGCAAAGAGACACACCAAGATCTTTTTATTGAAGGATCAGAACTGAAAACAATTTTGTGTTTACATTAAAAGGCATATTTATAATTCCTGATTGGTCATTTTCTTAGTACTTTACCATGTTATTTTATTTTATTCTACATTTGCTGTACTACTGAATAAAACTGTTTGAAAGAAATGGGAAAAAAAAGTAATAACATTTTTAATTACAGGTACTCTATAATTATCTTTGTTTTCAGTACCATTGCTTTAAAACTGGCAATTTAAAAGCAATGAAAAAAAAAAAGTTGCCAGTGCATGGCAGGCTGATTGAACACTCCAAATTGTCCCGAGGTGTGAGTGTGAGCGCGGATGGTTGTTCGTCTCTGTGTGCCCTGCGATTGGCTGGCAACCTGTCCAGGGTGTCCCCCGCCTACTGCGCGAAGACGGCTGGGATAGGCTCCAGCACGCCCTGGGACCCTCGTGAGGATAAGCGGATCGGAAAATGGATGAATGGATATTGCAATCACGTGCAGCAATCTTGTGGGAGGGAGCCGGAGTACCCGGAGAAAACCCACGCAGGCGTGTTGACAACATGAACACTTGAAGGCCGGAGCCGGAATCAAACCCTTCACTTCTGCAATGTGAGGCGAACGTGCTAACCAGCTGTCCACCGTGCCGCCTTCTTTTTAAGAGATATTAAACAAATATGAAGATAGTTTGTATCGTATCTTCTGAGGTTGATATAAATTCACATGAGAGGTATAATAGAAGGGTTTAATTTAAATAACTGCCTACTTTGCTGGTTGCTTTGCTCTCAACCTTATGAAATTTTCTACATTCTAGTTACAGACCTTTTGCTTGGCTCTCTGCTTCTCGGGCTGGATGAAGTTGCAGGTTTTGTGCGCTTGCTGGAGGCAGAGGGTGCATATGAGGCGGTCGTGTTGGGTGCAGAAGAGCTCCGTGAGCTTTTGGTGGTCGGGGCAGATGCGCTCCAACAGGTCGCCGACGGGTTCGGTCAGTTGGTGCACGCGGAAAACCGGGCTGTCGCGGTGCGGCCGCAGGTGCTCGGCGCAATAGGAGGCCATGCAAGTGAGGCACGTATTGACCGCCTCCGCCTTCATACACGTATCACAGCGTATGGCGGCGGCACCCCAGCCCGCTTCGCTTTTCGCCGTTTCGGCCACGGACACATCAGTCGAGCGTAGTTTAAAAGTGTCGACCACGGCGCTGAGGACGGTGTTTTTCTTCAGTTCCGGCTTGATCGAGTAGTGGGCCCGACACTGTGGACAGCTGTAGGTTTCCTTCCAAGTGGAGAGGAGGCACTGCTGGCAGAAGTTGTGGCCGCAAGGGGTGGTCACTGGGCAGTCAAAAGTGCACAGGCAAATACTGCAGGTCAGCTCATCACCCAAGCTGAGTAGAGAGAATTCACCGCCGTCCGCATCCGCCATCGTCCCGCTTCAATGTGAGCTGAAGAGAAGAGCGAAACTCAACTTTGCTTTTCCACGAAACGAAAGTAGAGCTAAGGTTTTTGTCACGTGACTGTCTGTTGGGAGGTGAAACTCAAAAGGGCAAAAAGCGGGTTACGTCGTCACGTAACTAATGATTAATCTGAGCTGTCTTTCTCGGAGATGTTCAATAAATGTATTTTTGTTTTTACTGACGTCTCTGCCTATGTGCAAACGTCTCACGGAAGACTCTCCGTGTGGGTTCTCTACATGCTTCTACCCATGCAAAAGGTTTATTACAGTCGGACGCAGAAGGACCCGGCTGACATGACCACAAAATTCTGACACAGCATGAAAAAAAACATGGGAACAAATTACATGCATCTTATTTAGTTATTACAACTCAGTCATTTTTGCATAATTCCACAAGACTACTCTAGTTAGGAAAACTTTTCCTTTAATACAAACATGATTTGTTTTATTCTCTACAAGCTTATTTGGGTTGAACCAACTTAATTTGAATTACACAAATGTAATTGTAGTACCTTATTCTTTTGCAGTCATTCTACTCAAAAATGTCCATGTACATTTTTATCTTCATTGTTTTTGAAGTACCGGTTACATGGGGTGGGGGGGGGGGTTCAATTGTATTGCGCTTTTCTACCGAAAAGGCACTCAAAATAACTCGTTTAACTACTGATGATGTGGTATCAGGGGGTTCTGTATCTTGCACGAGTACACTTCAACAAGATAACAACAGCCAGGCATTGAACCCACAACACTGGATTGGGAGACAACCGCTCTACCACTGAAACACACCGGCCTATTGTATCTAACTGCTGTGTGTTCTACAGTCCAGTTGTCCTCAAAAACTTGAAGAAATACCTAATGAGTGACTCATCCGCTTGTCGAATTAAAATATTTCTCATATTAAATGCCACTCCTCATTTTGCTTCTCTTTAAAGTACTCCTCTTATACTCATATTTTTTTCCATCCATACTTGTTGTATTCATCCATCCATCCATTTTCCAATCCGCTTTATCCTCACAAGGGTCGTGGGGGGTGCTGGAGCCTATCTCAGCCGACTTCGGGCAGTAGGCGGGGGACAGAACCGGTTGGCAGCCAATTGCAGGGCACAGACAGATGAACAACCAACCATCCACGCTCACACCTAGGGACAAATTAGAGTGTTCAATTAGCCTGCCATGCATGTTTTTGGAATGTGGAAGGAAACCGGAGTAACTGGAAGAAACCCACGCAGGCCTGGGGAGAACATGCAAACTCCACACAGGAAGGCCGGAGCCAGAATCGAACCCACGACCACTGCACTGCGAGGTCGACGCGCCACCAGGCCGCCCATGTTGTATTCATTCAACTTTATGACAAGAGTCACAGTTCTCGTCTTCATGTTTATCTTTTCTCCTACGATCCAGGAATGTCCGTCTTGTACTCAGTTTTTAAAGGATGCTCACAAGATTTTTAAGTTGTACTCACTGAATAATTTCCATGTTCGGTCATTGCAGAAATGTCTGTTTAGAATCAATACATGATTGAGTTAAGACTATGGTGTGTTACGACTGTGGTGGGTCTCATCAACAACAACAATGAGACGATCTACAGGAGTGAGGGGAACAGGCTGGCCTTGTGGGGCAAGGACAACAACTCCACCTGAATGTGAAAAAAACGAAGGAGATTGTTGTGGACTTCAGAACAACGCACACCCAGCATGCTCCGCTGACCATCGACGGTGCAGCAGGAGAGAGGGTGAGTAGCACCAAGTTCCTTAGTGTGCACATCTCTGAAGACCTGACCTGGAGCCGAAATACTACCTCACTGGCCAAAAAAGCCCACCAGCGCCTGTACTTCCTCCGCAAACTGAGGAGAGCAAGAGCCCCGCACTCCATGATGCAGACATTCTATTGAGGCACCATTGAGAGCATCTTGACCAGCTGCATCACCGTGTGGTATGGCGCTTGCACCGTGTCCTGCCAAAAGAGTCTGCAGCGCATTGTAAGAGCAGCTGAGTAGATCATTGGTGTCTCTCTTCCTCCACTCGCGGACATTTACAACTCTCGTCTGACCCGCCAAGCCACCCAGATCGCAGGTGACCCACCCACCCGTCTCACAGCCTCTTCGACCTGCTGCCGTCGGGGAGGAGACTATGATGTCTCTGTGCTAAAACCACCAGGCTCAAGAACAGTTTATTCCACCAGGTGGTCAGGAGACTAAACTCCCTCCATGTTCTGCCTCCCCCCCACCGACGACCCCTGCCTCTTGTCACAATCGGTGTCCGCCCCCCCAGCGTCTGACATCCGATTCTTGCACTTAAAATAAGTCACTACCCACAATAATCACAAATGCCCTTGGTTGTCGTTTTTTTATTTATTTTATATTTATTTTATTTAACATATTTATATAATTATGTAATTTTATGTAAATTTTCAATTTTAACTGTGTGTGTTCAATGCACTCCATGTTTGCACTGTGGTTGAGAGAGGAAAATAATTTCATCTGTGCTGTATGTTCCACATAGAGCATATTTGACAATAAAAGCTGACTGGACTTGACTATTTTCTTTGTTTGAATATATTCATTCATTCATTCATTTTCCGAACCGCTTTATCCTCACTCGGGCCGCGGGGGGTGCTGGAGCCTATCCCAGCCGTCCTCGGGCAGTAGGCGGGGGACACCCCGAATCGGTTGCCAGCCAATCGCAGGGCACAGAGACGAACAACCATCCACGCTCACACTCACACCTCGGGACAATTTCGAGTGTTCAATCAGCCTGCCATGCATGTTTTTGGAATGTGGGAGGAAACCGGAGTACCCGGAAAAAACCCACGCAGGCCCGGGCAGAACATGCAAACTCCACATAAGGAGGAGCTGGAATCGAACCCGGTACCTCTGCACTGTGAAGCCGACGTGCTAACCACTGGTCTACCGGGCCGCCTGTTTGAATATAGACCAACTTATTAAAATAAGTTGGCAATTGATTATACATGTACATATAGCAAATTCATTTTTATGCATAGAAATCCCTTTATTTTAAGATTTACCAACTAGGCCTATGAGTCATTTTTTGGAGAGTGGATCATCTATTGCTGTAAGGAATACCTGCACACGACCTGCCTTGGCGTGAAAGAACTTCATAACACAGCAACCAAGAATCATATTGTTTATTCAACAAAATTTCCTGTGAAATTACAGCCAAGTACTGGCAGCTGCGGTTGCCGGATTGTTAGCTATTTTACCGACTTTGAACTGATATCAACTTTACAGTGGGTGGACTCTGAGCCCTTTCCGGATGGCTGACCTTCACACCTTATCTCGAAGGGAGAACCCAGACACTCTGCAAAGGAAACTTATTTCAGCCGCTTGGGTCCAGGATCTCATTCCTTCGGTCACAATCCACAGCCCGTGTCCATAAGTGAGAGTAGGAACATAGATGGAGCGTTAAATCGTGAGCTTTGTCTTTTGGCTCAGCTTCTTCTCCACCATGACAGACCGAGACAAAGTCTGCATCACAGGAGATCCTCCACCAATGCGCTTGTTGGTCTCCCGCTCCATCATACCCTCCCTCGTGAACAAGACCCCAAGATACCCAATCTCCCCCATGTGTGGTAAGATGTCATTGACAACAGACAGAAACATGCCTGCTTGAATCACGTATTTATTCATGGGGGTGAATACAGCGGGGTTGCTTCAAGTGGATTGCATTGACTACATATGCTGTTAGAGACCGTGGGCGGGCCGAATCTGGCGCACGGGCCATACTTTTCCTAGCTCTGGCTTAATCAGATATTATCCATCCATCTGTTATGTAAATATTAAAATTACTTTTTACAGTGCAGTTCTTCAAAATCGCAAATTACTGAGTATTTGTTGTGTTTGTATGTGCATAATTCCGGATAAAGGCTTAATTTTGTACCTCGTTAGATTGTGCAAGTGAACCAAATGTGACTGAGTGAGTTGACATGAGGGGGAACTTTGATCTTCTATCCAGTGCTTAACATGAATGAAAACACCCCAACAGATTTGCTGGAAAACTTTGTACTTGCTGTGAGAGTTATTATATTACAGTATATGGTGTACTAAGTCACAAAATATTTAATGGTCTCTTGATTGTTAAGCCATTTGTCAATGTGCATACAAATACGGCATTTCATTTTCTGGAACAAATACATTTATGTTACATACCAATAAATGTTCCGTATAGCAAAAATAAACTTCGCTGTGTTCACTGAGAAATGGCTGAAAAGCATACTCGGGTGGTCTGCTCAGTTGTGTTGAACACTGTAATTCTACAAAACTGTGGCAAGTCCTCAGATCTAAATGATCCTTTACTGACAATTTGTTAACTTTCATCAGATTGTTCATTGCTATGTGACTTATTGAGCTAATGAATGTTCTTCATCAAGCTGGCAAACTGCTCCTCCTGAAAGAAAAAAAAAATCATAAAAAAAGACAACATCAGCTCACTTGAATTCTGTCAAAATTATGGTGCAATACCCAATAAAGTGATATATATATATATGTGTGTGTGTGTGGAGAGAGAAGGTACAATGTGATTCATTGATGATTTTAAAATGTAACAATTCAATTCGATTTGGGTTGTTTTACACACACACACACACACACACACACACACACACACACACACACACACACACACACACGCACACACACACACACACACGCACGTACACACACACACGCTCACCCTATTTTCTAGTGTCTTACCAGTATGTTCATCCGCTCAGCTGCTGCAACTGCGACATTCAGCTTGCGCTCATCATCCTCTCTCTCCTCCTCAATCACACCCAACCTTATCAAAGGCACAGACAGCCAAGACATAGGAATTGGTTGCTTACTGTGTGATATTAAAGACATTTTTGCCAACAGTATTGCGCACATGCAGTTACCACACGTCCAACCATCAACTTGTTGCGTGTAGTCTTATGACTAATTCCAAGTGACTATTGACAAAATAAAATACTGTTTTCTGATTTCTACCTGAAGGTGGCGCTAGCAAGCTGCTCCTCTCGCACAGCCAGCAGATTCCGGAGCTCATTCATTTCCGCCTGCAGTATTGCATTCTGGTCTTGAGTTTGGTTAATGAAGTCCTCCAGTCGCTTTGCCATTTCCAGCTCACGCTCAGTCACTTGGTCCATTCCCAGGCGAAGCTCTGACAATTCTTGGGCATGCTGGTTCATGGATCGCAAAGACAATCTGATATACATCACTGGGAATCCATAAATAGTTATCTTATTCATATGACAGCTTTCTGAGGCAGGTATGACATACCCTGTCGAGTAAGCTGAGTTCCTCCTGCCCAGACTGGTTCTCTCTGGGCTCCCTGTTTTGTATGTCTTTAATCCAGGGAACTGGTGCACATGGTTTGATCGCTTCACTCTGATCAAGAAAAAAAAATTCACACTGTGAAAAGTCTCATTTTCAGCCTGCTCAGTCTCCAGAGTGGACCCTGCGTAAGTAAGATGTAATACACTCCAGCTCGGGATAATCTGTATGGAAAATGGATAGATCGAAGTTATACTATCCATTTGGGGCTCATTCGGTCTTTTAATAAGTGAGGAGTGGAGTCTTTGACTTGGTGCATGGGTAAAGTGAGAAGAGACGACTTCTGTTGTGATTTGGTGCTACATATATAAAATTAAATTGAACTGGAGACTCAATTAGATGTTCATGTATTTTATAATTAATACAGAGCAGCAATTAAATGGTGTAGTCGTAAACATATTATTTTGGGGAGTAATATATCTATAATGAGTGCCTGACTTCCTATTCCTCCTGTCTCTTTGTCAAGGAGCATGGAACCACCAGTCCTTGGTTTGCCATTCGAACCACTTCTAATGGAGACAAATGACCTTTGCCTTGCAAACATGTGATTTGAACATGGAAAAAAAGAATCTAATCAATGTCCGCAGTGCAGTAATTGGAATTTTTACGTCAGCCAGTCAGAAAAAGTACTGTGATTTTCCACATATGTGGCCTATCTAAGTGGTTGTTGCACATTGTTTTTCACATCAACACACCACTGATATGCTAAACATATAAACAACAGAATGTAATATTTAAGAACAGGTGACCTCACTTTTCTATATTCTTTTACACTCACTGTTTTTGGCGATGAGATGAGGGGCTGGTTTGTTTCCAAATCTTGTTCATGGTTAGTTGTGGGAAGAGCTTCAGAACTTGTCTGCCTCTTCAGTTTTTTTTCAGGACGTCTGTGTGGAGCACTTTGAGTTCTGGTGACTGGCTTCCTCCTCCAAGCTTTGACATCTCTGTGAAATAAATACACATAAGTGCCACTCTTTAATTATTTATTATTTAGAACAGACAAAATTGAATTGATCAGATCCACCCATCATGTTATGTGTGCGCACAAGATGGGCTGCGGACTGGTAAAAGAATGTGTTTTGCCAGCTAAGTCATAAAGAATATTTTTCTCTGCTAACTTATTCTTTATTCGGAGGTTGCGCATCATTGAAACTGTCAACAGCAATGTTCCACAGTATATGACTCCTCAAAAAAAACCACTGCAGCTACACCGGAGTGGTGTAAAGCTCTTGCAGCATTAGGGGGGTGCTCTTTGTAACAGCTGCAATGTGAGAGAGTGATGCAATGTTGTGATTTTGAATCAGTTAAATTTCTGACACATAGCTTGTTTCCAAAAACTCAGAAAACATTGCTGTCAAGCACGGGTGGAAAAAGCAGATCTTGGAATTCGGTGCACACATAAAGCGCACCGGATTTTTAGGCGCACGGACGATTTAAGAGAAAATTCAAGGTTTTTAGGTGCGCCTTATGGTGTAGAAAATACGGTCCATGCTGATCATTGAACCGTTGGAATACTGCTTGACCTTTAGAGGCCCTGCATGTTCTGAAGGATCTTTGTAGATGAATGAAGAGATCCAGCAGCAGAAAAAAAAACCCTCTTAAATTGGATTGTAGATCACATACCCATCTCTTGGGCTCTTGGAGTCCTGAGGAAGCTGCTGGAGGGATGATTGGTGAGGGCTAAATTTGCTCAAGTCTTTTGGAGGAATGTACATTGGCTTGGATTGTTTCCTCGGGCTGTGAGAAAGAAGGTACTTTTACGAGAGTATGACAACAACAAATGACAGATCTTAGAGTAAACATACCTGTTAATTGTGATTTGATGCATCTCAGGGCCCAGTGACTCTGTTATCTGGTTCAGAATCCAAGGCAGAGGATGCAATTTTTCAATTGTTTCCTAAAGAATATCAAAGCTCTGTGTCAGTGTGTGTGTGTGTGTGGAAATGAAATACATACAGCTGTAAAAGCACACACAGACCAACACTCAGAAGAAAGCCACCCGGTAAAGGGGCATAAAGATAAGTCACAGGTGTGTTAGCAATTTAAGGACTTGCTCGTCAATACATACAGCTGTAAAAGCACACACAGACCAACACCCAGAAGAAAGCCACCCGGTAAAAGGGCATAAAGATAAGTCACAGGTGTGTTCGCAAATAAGGACTTGCTCGTCGCCAAAATCACAACTAAAATACAATAGACTACAGTGGACAGGTTATCATGTTATCAGGTGACGAAGTGCGTGAAAGGGTTAAAACAACCACCACTGTATTCAAAGTGCAGCACATAGGGCAAAATAATTCTAACGGCTATAAATTAATAAGGAAGACAGTATAAATCACAAAAACAGTAAAAGTAAAAATCAAGTATCATGCTGTGTCAAAGGCCAAAGAATAAAAATGAGTTTTAAGACAAGGTTTCAAGATGGGTAGCGAGGGGGCTTGCCGAACATTCAGCCGGAGGTCATTCCAAAGAGAGGGACCAGCAACGGAAAAGGCTCAATCCCCTCTGAGCCTCCGCTTAGTTCTTTAGTTCTTGGTACCTCAAATAGTGTCTGGTCCGCAGACCTGAGGCACTCGGCAGGTGCGGAGGAGCTCAGGGAGGTAAGGTGGAGTGAGGCCATTTGAAGATTTGAAAACAAATAATAGGATCACAAAAAGAACTAAAAAAAAATTATCGGCAGCCAGTGAAGGTATACCAAGTCTTGTTAAAATGGCATTTCGTTTTTGTGAAGACCAAGTTAACTGTATCGATACGGGATGGGACAACAGTGACATCGCAGCAAAGCGGACATCACTCCAAAATGTATACTTTGTAAAAGATCGAGAAGAAAACTGATCGGGGAGGCAGTAAAGATGTCTACAGAAAAATTAAAGAAGCCAATGGAATTTCTGGAAAGTACTGCCTGAGTTCTATATGTGACAAAACTCACCCATATTCTTCATAAACAGTATCTCAGCTGTGCACAGAGCCTCAACAAGGGATTTAGCGCCCCGGTCGAAAAAAAATCTCACTTTGGGCTCCACGCCCATTAACAGTTTCAAGCGCCAATAATGACAACCTGTCACCTGATAACATGATAAGCTGTCCACTGTAGTAACCACTTTCCCAGAAAAGGTTAAAAATACTCTTTCCAAGGGCTCTTGTGAGTCATCAGCATTCATTTAGAAATGTTTTAGCCACCCCGCCCAACTTATTGTGCCCTTGGCCCTGCAAAGGCTTGTCACTGTTAAAAGACATTTACAACACACCGCTTACAAGGAAGTCAAAAAACATAATTTAAGGTCACCACACCCAGCCATGGTACACGCTCTTGACACCTGGCAGACGCTAGTGTGTCATCCATGGCTGTAATTTATATCTACAGGCCATCGTATTGACACGCTACTGTGCAAATGTCTTTTCAACAAAATACAAGAAAGGAAAAAGAATTGGTCACCTTGCATTTACTTTCATCAAAATGGAAACTTTCCTGACTAACTTAGTGCTGTCACCTCTTGTCACTTATTCAATGAAAACCCTGTTCTAGCTTCGGATTTTCCTACTATGTTGGAATCTGCCTATCTGGACTTTATCTCTTCTTGTTTGCATGGATGTACCTTATTTCTAGATTTATTTACTATTTACGGTCCTTTATCTTGTGCTTTGGTGTTCAGTCCACAAGCCTAATTGACTGTGTTTGGGAATTTATCAGATCACGTTGCGCCTCACTGGGCCTTCCTTCGTACCTGATCCCTCAGACAGATGATGTCAACCAGCAGGCCATGGAGCACGGCCAGTCGCAGAGGTAGATCCACATAGCCATCAAAAGAGCTCATTGGGATCTCAGCATACGGAGTGGATATTGTTTGGAGAAAGCCCCTCATTCTCTCCAAATGCTGCTGTAAGAATTCATTCATAAACAGCATGTACTCCTCTTTTTCTCCAAATCTGCAGTAAAAATATAGAGGTGTGAATTAAAAGAGAAGTGTTTTTCTCTTGTTTTAAAAAATCAGCATTAAGATTTTGTCTTGAGGGCTTATTGAAAGTTATGCATGATTAGACTGGCATTGCAAATAAAGCTGCTCACAGTGTGAAGTTTGCCAAGTTCTGGATGACTTTAGCCGTTAGGGTGAGCGTGCGCAGGGTGTTTGGCTCTGGGTATGCTTGTGTCAAACCAAAAAGAGACGGACTGAGGACAGCGGGACACAAGAAGCGAAGGAAGAGGGAAGCAGAGATGAGACGTTGACCAATCTCTGGTCTTCCTTGGTCTTCGCACAGATCCGCCCAACTTGAGAAAATCTTGTTCAGCTCTTCAGGAAAGGATCTAAAGACATCCAAATATTTCTTGAAGTTGAAAGGTGTGATTGAAACCTCAATTTTTTTCACCTCCGTGAGCTTCATTATCTTACCCATGGAGGTCAAAAATTTTCCGCACCACTTCCTCACACACTTCTCTCAAGTTCCTCTGGTTGTTGAATAGTTCAGCGGCATGGCATTTGCGGGGATCGACTTCACAGTTGTTCCCCATCACATAGAGACGTATGATGAGGTCCCCTAAATTCATTGAGCAAGAGGGCTGTGTTGAAAGTATTTGTAATTCAGGGAAAGCAGTTTCATCTAACATATAGTATATTTACCGAGTGTGTCAATAAGGTATTTTTGTCCAACCAGCTTCATATATTCATCGATGGCTTTCGTGGCAATTGTGTTCTCTCTGAAGATAAGAGCCTCCTTCTCTCCAAGACGTTCGAGCTCGGCGGTGCCCAAATCAACAAGAAACTCCTGAAACATTCAATTTTTATATGAATATATTATGCAAATTCAATGATCTTGTGTTAGAGCACTGATCTTCTTCATGTTCCCTCTGATGAGATAATTGCACTGTATGATTGCTTTTCCTCTGTAATTGAAAGGTCTAGCCAATACGAAGGTTTGAAAGAAATCATCTGTACAATGGACAGAGTATGGTACACTAGATCTTTAATCTATCCATCCATTCATCCATTTTCTGATCCGCGTTATCCTCACAAAGATCGCGGGGCACGCTGAAGCCTATCCCGGCTGTCTTCAGGCAGTAGGCGGGGCATGGGACACCCTGAGCTGGTTGCCAGCCAATTGAAGGGCACACATAGACAAACAACCAACCGCGCTCACACTCACACCTAGGGACAATTTCGAGTGTTCCATTAAGCTGCCATGCATGTTTTTGGAATGTGGGAGGAAACCGGAGTACCCAGAGAAAACCAACGCAGGCACGGGGAGATCATGCAAACTGCACACAGGAAGGCTGGAATTCAACCTTGCACCTCTGCACTGAGGCCGACATGTGAACCGGTCGACCACCTGAATTTTTAATTCATATTTAGGTTACCGATCGGGTGGCTCGGTGGTCTCGTGATTAGCGCGTTGACCTCACAGTGCAGAGGTCGTGGGTTCGATCCCGGCTCTGGCCTTCCAGTGATCCTTTTACTTGTCCCTCACACAAGACTAAAAACTAACTGTGGAATGCACTTCCATTTGAGCTAAGAACTGCCCCTAAATGGCAGGCTCATTGAACACTCTAAATTGTCCCTCGTTGTGAGTGTGAGTGCGGACGGATGTTCGTCTGTGTGTGCCCTGCGATAGGATGGCAACCAGTTCAGGCTGTCCCCCGCCCCGCCTACTGCCCAAAGACAGCTGGGATAGGCTCCAGCGTGCCCTGCGACCCTAAAGAGGATAAAGCGGATGAGAAAATTGATGGATGGATGATGGGTTATCGATATGCCTGATTGTATTGAGTATTTTTATATTGTCGTCACATGAAAACTGACTGAGAAGCAAAATGTTCCATCCTAAAGCCATTGCACGTCTCATTTGATGCCCATTCATTGTCTGGGGGTGGGGAAGAAACTGACTGGATGACCATCTGCAGGTTGGCACACATCTATTATGCTATTCGAGCTTCTATCACAGATGGCTCGAGTTGACCAGTGCGAGGAGGAAACTCCCAAAGACCATTGTCCTGAGAAGCTCTCTCAGTGAGATGGGGCTGTTGTTCTGCGAACCGAACGACGGCTAACTGCTTCAACGCCGATTCTGGACTCAACCCTCAGCCAAGTATTATTCTCTGCATTGCTTTTCAATTACAATTACTCTTCTTTTAACGAGCAGTAAGCCTAAAGTCCCGAAGTTTATTGTTTTGTGTCAGAGTCCTAACACCACTAGGTGTTAGGACTCTGACAAAGAAAGATCACAATCGCTCAAAACTCACCTCAGTAGAATGTAGCTAAAACTGTTGTATTAATTGTCCCCCTGGACAGTTTTTGCTCCAAAATTTACCACTTGTTTAGGGTTACTCTCTAAAATATGCAACCCAGCTTGTGAAACCTACGAATGTCATCAATCAGGGCATGCTTTTCGAAGAACAAGAACTCAATCCTTCTTTTTAGGTGCTGAGAATAATTCTAAACCTCGGTCCACATCATCACATTCCGAACTAAAAAGAACTAGTTGTGGTTTCCTCACGTCTTGAAAATTGCAATGCTTTTGTTTCAAACTTTTTGCTGCATCACTGCAGTTCTGTCATCCTTGCTTTATCTCCCTGGATTCAGAACAACAGTTTACAGCTCAGTGGTCATGCTCATCCATACTTGGGGATCAGGTGTCATTTTATTGCCCTGTTCATTCACTGTGATCTGCTTACTTCCTTTTACTTGTCCCTCACACAAGACTAAAAACTAACTTGCAGTTCACTGCCTCCGAACTGCGGACTGCACTTCCATTTGAGCTAAGAACTGCCCCTAGATTATACATTTGAAAAAAACCCATTGAAAACAGGATTTTCATTGTAGGACTTGATTGTTTTGATTCTTCTTTTTTTTTTTTGAATTAACTGTGTAACATTGGGTGTGTGTATGATTGCACCTTTTAAAAATGTAAACTCCTTTGTGAGTTCTCTCAAAAATAGATAATTCTTCTGTATTTTTTTACTCTTGTATATACTGTCAATGATGTTGGAAATGTATGTACAATTAATTAATGAATGTTTTATGATGCTGGAGCAGATTATTTCCATTTTCATTTGAAAAATTAATCTAAAAGTAAAAAGTAGGGGAGGTCGACCAGACTCCCCCAACCGGTTGTGTTGGACCTTTGAGATTTCTCTGTGTACAAGCTTTCCACATGTTTTTACCTTTGCTTTGCCAATACTCTGCAGCACATGCACAAGCGCCCCAGCCAGCTCCTCCTTTTCTTTCACATTCAGAAGTGGCTCCAAGCTTTTGCACATTTCCACATAATGCACAGTCACATATTCGGCAAACTCCTTGTATTTCTCCATCGGTAGAACCTTTAGATTCTGAAAACGGGCCTTGATGCGGATAGAAGCCTGTGGTCCTAGATTCTCTTTGCTGCAACCTACGCCTGAGCGCTTGTAAGGAATGATGGGATACCACTTTTCCTGATACTTTCTCCCTCGGATGTCAGCTAAGTGTATATTTACACTCCCGAGTGGATGCAGACTGAACTCATCTCGGGAATGGCGCTTTTTCTTGGGGTCTTCTTCGCAGAAGAGGTGCAAGGTGATTTGGGAGATGCAGGGAAGATTGTCAAGTTCAAAGAACTCTCCCCAGAATAAGTGACATCCCTCTGGAACACCCCCGCTGCCGCCCAGGCTTCCTGAAGAGCCAGTCGAGCTTTCCCCAGCCAGGATGGAACGACTGGACACCTTTCCAACAGGGCGAGTGGTGGTACGGGCAAACAGAGTCCCATCCAAGTGTACCTCGCAGTAATAACGCCGTTTGGGAGGTAGATCCTTTGCTTCCTTCACCCACAGATTTAGGGAGTTCTCTGTGCGCTCAATGTTATCCTGTAAACAGTTTTACAGGACGTAAAGTATATATCGACATTTTCTCTGATGATTATGTCTTAAATTGGATTGTCTTGGACCAAAAAGTTCACCTTATTGGGCTGGGCAGCCCTTCTCAGGTCTTCGATCCAACGGTCCCGCTCTGCAGCTGAGGAACAGCCAAAGCAGTGTGTGTTCTCCAAGTTTATGACCTATTGGTGCAATGCATACATAAAGGATATACATTGAAAGTGACTGTATTGCATGTTTAACTACAGTAAAACAATTTTGATGCTCATTTTCAAGGTTTGCCAGTGAACTCAAGACAGATGTAGTACGCTTTTTCACATGTGGCATCGATCTGACAGCATAAAACACAGACCGCCTACCTCAGGCCAATGTGCCCTGAATGATTTTAACCTATTGGTTCAAGGTAAAACTATATTGGATTACTTTTAAAACAAAGGGGAGTACCTGGCCAACCAACATTTTACAGTCAAAATGAATAATGCATGGGTTGGAGATACTGTACCTCAAAACAGTACTTCTCCCCTAAAATGGAGCTGTGGACTGGCCTGACCACAATACTTGGATCTGCACTTAGATCCAGACTTCCAACAGGGCTCACTGGAATTGATACAGACTCCTTGGATCCATAGTGCCTTCAATAAATAAAATGAAAATGACAAGTTTAATAAGGTTTTATGGACCGCGACTCAGACATTAATATTGGGCAACGTAATGTACCCTCTCTTACTGCTGTTGAATAAACTGGTAGCGCTCATTATTTTTAGAATTAGACTTTCTGTTGTAGCTACTCTGAAGTGTTGAGGTCGGGTGGACCCTAGTGCAGGAAAACACAGTACAGCAAGAGTGTGGAAAGAAAATCATAAAATATTTGTTGAAAAAAAAAAAAGTAAAAGAATTGGGGAACTTCCGGGAATAAAAACAAATCGAAAGACAACAGGGAAATTAGACACGTGACAAACAACACATTAAGTTGAACCTTGTGAACGAAAAAAAACAAAACAGTAAAACAGTAGGGTGAAAACTTTCATAAACTAGTGTGGCACAGATTTATGGCACAGTTCCTATTACCAGAACGTCCGAGCTCTGACTAAGCAATTACATAAACGGCATTTAAATGGGGCGGCCCGGTGATCCAGTGGTTAGCACGTCAAACCCATAGTGCAGAGGTCGTGGGTTGAATCCCGGCTCCGGCCTTCCTGTGTGGAGTTTGCATGTTCTCCCCGTGCTTGTGTGGGTTTTCTCCGGGTACTCCGGTTTCCTCCCACATTCCAAAAACATGCATGGCAGGCTGAGGCACTCTAAATTGTCCCTAGGTGTGAGTGTGGGCGTGCATGGTTGGTTGTCTCTGTGTGCCCTCCGATTGGCTGGCAACCGGTTCAGGGTGTCCCCCGCCTACTGCCTGAAGACAGCTGGGATAGGCTCCAGCACCCCTCGCGACCCTTGTGAGGATAAAGCGGATCGGAAGATGGATGGATTTATTTGTAGCTATTGGATGCAATAGATTTTCTTGTCATGAGTTGTCTTTTTTTGAGCTCATCTGTTGTCTGTATTAGTCATGGAAATATGAGTGAGGTACATAATAATGTCCTGTTGCCAGCAGTCTGAAGCATGGAATTAGCGTGACATCCTCTCACACTTAAAATAGCATTAATTTTCTTCTTCTTCAACTGAATGGAGCACGAATGGATGCCATATTATTCAACACTGACAAATGACCAGTGATGCCTTTGAAGAATCATGAAAATATTTTACCCAACACAGTCTATCAATTCATCAATTTACAAGAACATTTACATACAAAAAAGATGATTGTCATATGATAAAATAAGTCAATGAATTGGATTTCATTTGAGTGTGTGTGTGTGTGTGTGTGTGTGTGTGTGTGTGTGTGTGTGTGTGTGTGTGTGTATTTATTACACACACAATTATGAATGGCGCAAAGGCGCAAGCCAGGATGTGGTCTAAAATTAGCATTATAAATTTACCTGCTTCCTTTGTTTAGACCCATGTGGTTCAGTTGAGTGTTGCTATTTCTCTTGGCCTTGTTCTCAAGACGTCGCTTAATCAGTGCCTTCAGGGTGAAATATAATATTTAAAATGCATTTGAAATAATTGATGATTACCGGTATGTTTGATGTGTGCCACACTCACCCGGACACCGCCATCTTCTTTCTTCGGTCGAGGGCCCACGTGGTCAGGACTACATTCTAAAAGGTACATATGCCAGAGAAAAGAATATACCAGCATATCACTTATTGTTCTTTCAATAACTATATTATGATTATTATCATTATTATTTTAATGTGCCTGTTTGAAAGCGCTCTAAAATGTCTATGGTCGCTCCTGCTGTAAATTAACACGATGACTCAAATATGCATTTCCACTGGAGTCAGATTGGCATTATAAACATTTGATAGAACAGGATGTGGTTTTAAGCAGAGGTAGCAAAAGGACTCGCACACTGTATTTCAGTAGAAGTGAAGATACTTGGCACAAAACATACATTGATTCTATTCATTTAGTTAAGGAAAAATACAAAAGAACGCACCCTGAAATGTATTTAAGGACAAAAAGAAAATACTGTCAGTTATATACACTTAATGTTTTCATAACTTGGCACCATGTGAAAAATATTTCCCCACATCCAAAATAGTTGCCCTCTTTTATTAGCTTTCATACTGCTTGTATGGAGAGAAAAAAAAAAAACAAGTTAACTATCATTGGCTCAAGCTTAAATGCTATCAAAAATCTATCCCGTTATCTGTTTTCAAATATGGGGAGATAAGGTCAAAAGTCAAGCAACATTCAGATGGCCGAAAAATCTGAAAAGGTTTGCTTCTACACTACACTCTCAGTCTTGCCACTTACCCAACGCCGCACCACAGACAATCCATCGTTTGAAACCCATCATTTAGTACAAATGGTCTTGTTTCAATCAATATGTCCCCATGTACAAATCCCTCTTCTTTTTGCGGAGTCCAATGTTGATCTACTGTATAACCAGCCAACTCAGCTACCAGCAAAAAGCTCTGCTAACTCTATGCACCCTCTGATCTTGAATGGGGACTATGCCTCCTGCTTTCACTGGGCCAGAAGAACATCTAGCGATGCTATCTTCCACCCCCCA